TTTTATTCTTTTTGAATATTAATATGTAATCAAATATAGGGGAAATGACGGCTTTGGCATGCCAGACTATTTTCGGCAACCCAAATTGAAACACTATTTTCACTGGATTTTCATACGAAAACACTTCGCTGAATGCATGCAAACTATTCCTTATGCTTTCAGCTTCAATTTGACTATATTTTTACCACTGAGAAAAAGCAATCTAGCAAGGTTTTCTTGAAATGAAACACACGCACTACAAATTGTAGCTGATTTCGAGTTGCCGATAATAGAACAGCAAATTTACATGCAGTTCAAATGGAACGGTTGCCGAAGAAAAACTGGTTGCCGACAATACTCGCTCTCACTAGAGAAGATTGGAGCTTTGTAAAAGCGTTTCAAAACAGTTTTTGACAATTTTTTCGACTGAAATTGTTAGAGCAGCTGGCAGCAATAGATTGTAAACAAACCAATACTGCATATGTGTGCGTTCCTTAGAGAAAAAGGCTATATAAAGAAGGTCGCTGCTTAGGTTGCCGAGAATACGTAAATTCCCCTATTAAAATTCAATCAAAAAGTTTTAAAATAGACTCAAAAATGATTAGAATTTATTCAAAAAAGATAATTTTCAATCTAATCAACCATGATTAAACTGGGTTTAATATAAGATGATTATTTTTTAGAAAGAGAGTATTAATTGTTAATTATTCGATATGATTGAACTGAGCTTAATGTCAAATTGATTAAATTTCAAGCAAAATGGGAATAGTTAAATTTATCAGTGTATATAGATACTATAGATTCCATAGATAAGCGGAGGCACAAAAAGTGTTTTTGGCAACCATGAAAAATAAATCTAGGTAGAGCTGGAATTAGGGCCTAACAGCTTGTGTAAACAATGATTTCAATCGATGATTTCTAGAAACTCAAGGCTCGCCCACACAAACCAACCTCCTCATTGGGTAGGGAAAGACTTTCCCTATCCGATGGTTATGTTGGTCTGCGTGGGCGTGCCTTTAGTTCCTAGAAATCATCGATAGATGACATTGTTTACAAAAGCTGTTACGCCCTAATTCCAGCAGTATCTAGAAATGCTCTTACTGGCATTCGTGAAAAATGTTCATGCCATCATGTAGCTCTTCGTTGTGCAGTTTTGTTTTGTTTTGTGCCCAAAAGTTTAAAATGAAGTGCAAAGCAAATCTTTGCAACATTGAATCAAGGAGTGGTTTGCGTATTATTTCCTTCTTCCGTTTTCTGCCAAATAAATCAATATGTGGATTGTGGAAAGCGTTTTGTGCCCATAATATTACAATACTTCCCCTGAAAAACACTCCATGATGACGTCATGCTCGTTTGATTATAGAGATTTTTGACGTTTAATCGGCGCACACTACTGTACCATTTAAAGCGCACGAGTGCGAGCAAGAGGGAAATAGATTAGTGGGAAGGTTTGTTTTCGATTCATCCATGTGTGCTAGATAAAGAAAGGTGATTAAACGTCAAAAAGGTCTATTGTCACTATACACTAACTGACAGTTAGTTTGGCTACATTCTACTTTGCCTCCGCTTATCTACACGGGTAACCGCATTTTCGAGGGAGACTGGGACTACCCATTAAATGAGTAAAAAGATTACCCATTTATGAGTATTTGTTACTCACAAATAAATACTTACTACTTATTTTTGTATCCGACCAACCATTCGTGAAACTTCTTCAAAGTTCTTTATACAGAAATAAAGATTTATGTCGGCAATTATTTACTTTAAATTTTCTATGATTACTGTAGGAAGTAAGAGCAAGTAAGCTGTTGATAAATAAATATAAAATATTTAAATACTGATATCATCGTAGCTTTGAACTTTGACAAAGAGCAACAAAGATTGCCATCGAAGCACATTTATAATTTCCTGGTTATCGATTTGCATCGCTGGTTAAAGAGAGTTCGAGACACACCAGGTGACAGTTGGCAATGTTTATATTATTTATCGACATATTCGGCATTTCATCGGAAGAAGCAATCTGCCGGTAAATGAACGAGAAGACCGATGGCCGCGACGCAGCAAATGTTTACCATTGTAGTAAAATTGATACCTTTTTGATCTCTATTACACCTACATGGCTGACTGGTTGATGGTTATGACAAATAAATATTGAATTCATGTATGAAAAGATTTACATAAATTTCAATACACCACATACTAGAGTGTGTTTGCCTGTCGTTGATAAGCTCATCAACAGCAGCCGTGGACCCGAGGATTAGCAACCAACAACGAAATCAAGTACACCCCAGATGGCATGGGATCGAAACTAGAAATTATGCAGATAAAAAATCACAAATAAAATCAGCAGTTGTGTATCGATATTTTGATTTAACAACCGAAATCGATATTTTGATCTGGCAACACAATCGATATTTTAACATTGGTAACGATTGGTAGCAATATTTTGAGAAAGATCTTTATAAACGATTCACGATTAGACTTTTAGCATCTTTATAATTATTCATAAAATGGTGACGATCGCTATCGAAATTTTTCTACCCAAGATGTCTTCTAAATTCATTCCCCTTTCCATAAGTACCGTTGAATTTGATAAAGAGCCACACATTGTTGAGATATTGTTAAAAATCTAACACTGCTTCTTGATTCCAAATCCGTCCTACGAGTTTCAATTCCGTCCAAACGCATTGAAACGCCATTGGATTTTCTTCGTCCTACGGATGAAGGTAGAAAAAGCGAGTTTGCTAGGAGCGCTTCTTTTGTTTTGAGAACAATGAGTGTAAATATGCACACAATACGCTCTAATACGCTTTGTGTTGTAGCTTGTGCACTAACGCATCGGTACAAACGTATTACTGATTTGTGCACCTTTAAGGTTCTACAAAGGGTAAGTAATTTTGTGTTCTTCTTCTTTTTTAAATATCATAAAATCATCATCATTAGTTTACACATACATTCATATATTATGAATACGAAAATTTAAAACATGTATTTCGTGGGTAAAACACGAAAATTTCCTGGGGAAAACACAATCACTGTATTTACTTACTTGTGTTCTTCGAAGTATAGCACAATTAAACGCAATCGAATACACGAAACTCAAAACAACTGCTTCACAAAACTCTTGGTGAACAAAATTCATCACAAAGAAAACCATTTCTACTTTACTGCTTTGCTAGCAATCGTGAAAGTATCATTGAAACAGCGGTGCCAGATGTATTGCCTCTAGCAATGAATTTAAGTTTATTTAAACAATTAATTGCGAAGTCTGCCTTATTAACATAGATGAGTGGATGTATTTAATGGTGGATAAATATCAAAAACTGATTAAATAAAACATAAATGACCATTTTAAACATTTTACCGGTCCAATTAAAAAAGTCACAGAAGATTGAATTCAACACTAACAGGGTTGATGGCAGCAGTGCACGTAGCCTGTTATACACTTTTCCGCTCAGGGGTGTAAACAAACTTGCATACAGCGCAGTCTGGCAGTGCTTATGTTTTGTCTGCTACATTCTTATCCACTAGATAGTGTGACATCACATTTGCTGTTGTATTGAAATGAAGGAAGAAAAGAGATGGTTAAGTTTTCCTCACCATACCAGTTGATATTTATGAAAAATGGGCAGTTTTGGCGTGGGGACATGCAGTAAACAAAATAATGACCCTTTGTAGAACCTTAAATCATTGATTATACTGATGTTTTCTGCTCGATAGAACGGAAATGGACGATTACGACGAAGTAGCGCTCTACCCTATATGTTTAAAATAAACTTCAAAATCATGTTTAAAGTAAAAATATTTATTTTAGATTCAAAAAAATGTCAAAGCAAAAATATTCACGTTTATTTTCAACACGAATATTTTTAAAATAAACGTAGCATGACTTTTATTTTAAACATTGATGTCACATGACATTAAACATAAAATACGTTTGAAATAAATCTAATTTATTTTTGTGGCCAGAACAAACTGAGTTTACGTTAATATTTACCTCAAATATTTTTATTTCGATAATATTTTTTTAATCGATGTACGATGTACATCGATTTTGCGAACAAAATTACATCCATTGATGTATTATTGCATCTGCTTTTTGCTATTACACAGCAACAAAAATGTAATATCGATCAATGTAATTCAAGCTGATGTATGAAATAATGATGTAATAGCAATAAGCAGATACAATATTACATCAATGGATGTAATTTTGTTCGCAAAATCGATGTACATCGTACAACGTTATATTACACAACCGATGGATTGACCTGGGTGCAGCAGTTTGGGTTTAATATTCAACAACTTTTTTTTCTGTGTACATCATTATTTCATATACATCAGCTGCATTGTTTTGCTGTGTATACTATACACGCTAAGATCAGTTTACCTAGACGGTACAAAGAGATTACCGAGATTGGCCGTAAATTGCACAAACTCACATATGGGTAATTTTTTTAACCCAGATATGGGTTCTTATGATCCATAAATGATTTATTTTTGTGCAAATTTGACTTAAATTTATCCATATTTGGGTTAAAAAATTTACCCATATCTGAGTTTGTGCAGTTTACGCCTGATTTGGGTAAAGTAAACCTACATTTGGGTTATCTGATCTTAGCGTGTAGGAAGGTTTCGTGGTTGATGTCTTCGATAATTCCACATTATCCACAGCCGTGAATTTTTACACAACTACACCTTAATTAGTTCCAACTACCTTGATCCAACCGTCGACGCATCGTTCTGCAGCTGTCAAGCCAACTGTCACATCAATTTAGAAAGTTCTCAACCAACAATTGAAATGGGCCTATCAGCTTTTGTAATCAATACTTTGAAAGCCTTTTTCTCGCAAAGAATAGGCCGCTCACGCAAAACAACAGCATCATAGGGTAGGATAGAATTTTTCCTACACGATGATGCCATTGATTTGCGTAAGCGGCCTTCGTTTTGCGAGGAAAGGGCTTAAACATTTTGTTTCAAAAATCTGGTAGGCCCTTTTCAGTTATTGGTCGAGAGTTTTCTGCAAAAAGGTTTGTCCTCTCTCCGGCAAACAGCCAGCAAAAATTATTCAGAGTGAATTGGCGAGTTTTTCATTCCTTCTAGCCGTGAAAAGTTGTACAGTAGATAGTTTTTACAGTCCATCAAACAGGTTTTATTTTGTTTCGACAATGCGAGTACCTGCTGGCAGCAACATTAAGTTATCATAGATCGTGTCTAGCTCATAGTCTACGCCGCATAACACGATAAACACAGCAAGAAAATCGTCTGGAGGAAGTCTACGACAGAGTTCCACTCCGCTCCATCCCATCGGAGCCACCAAAAATCCTTTAATTGGAACTTCCTGCAAACTTCATAGGAATCTCTAGTGTTAACTATCTCGAACAGAATAAATTCCGACAGCATCAGTGATGTCTCCCCACAAATGAGTGCTATTGGATGAGGATAGTATTTTGTGACTCGAATAAACGTCGAGTGGCTGGACGCTAGCAAGGACAAAGTGGTGGTGGCCTAGATTTGGTCGGGAATCATTGAACTGCGAGACAAAGGTTACCACTGAGAAACAGCGATAACGCACAGACGTGAGGAAAGACATGCTGAAGGTATGTAAATATTATTCACTGACCTTCGACAGACACTGCAAATGGACAAGGCTAGATCCATGATTCGCGAGTCGTGAAATGTTACTTTCTTCTGCATACCTAATTCAATTACGAAACAGTAATCGATTTGCAATTATGTTTATGTTTCTATGTGACTAATTATGGTGCTTTAATGAGTAACTGTTCGGATTTTGATAATTCAGTAGGTTAATTTCGAATACTCAAACGTGACTAATAATGATCCACGCAATCTTTCAGAACAACCAGACGTCATTCGAGGAAAAATGGCCCCAAATGCGGCCGATAGTGCTGAAGCTTTTAAAGCAGGAACCGGTCACGCACTCCGAATGGCAGGAGCTATTCTATGCGGTACATTTGGTGTGCCTCTGGGATGACAAGGGTCCTTCCAAAATACATGACTGCCTCCAGGAGGACATCGTAACATTCATCAAACAAGCCCAAAGCCGAGTACTTGCGCAACGCGAGGAACAGGCCCTGCTGAAGGCATACATCGTCGAATGGAGAAAGTTCTTTACCCAGAGCAGTTATCTACCATTACCATTCTGGCAGTTGGAGAATGCCCTGCAGGTGAGTTGGCACCAACAAAAGTGATTTTAGTTCGCACAAGACAGTCCTTCATTCATGTGTTATAAATGCAAACGTTGTCGTGTGTGGTGGTCGCAGAAACCTGAATGTTTGCAAGGGTTTTCGTTAATACTGTGCTAGTACAATGGATATGGAGAGCTGGGTTCAGAATGTTAAAGCTATAAAATAAATGAATTTTTTATTCCCTAAATCGGATTTTAACACGAAAACGTACCTACACACTTAGATTTTTTCGCCGAGATGGGCACCACCGAGCAGCTCGGCATTTTATTTTGCTGGATCTCAGTGAAAAACTTGCCGAGATTCAGCTAACAAACGGGAATTTTGCCGAGATCTCAGCTAACAAACATATTTTTTGCTGAATTACCAGCAAAATAAAATGCCGAGCTGCTCGGTGGTGCCCATCTCGGCAAAAAAATCTTAGTGTGTACTACGTTTTCTGTTTGAAGTCGTCAATTTTTCCCCTATCCTTTCCATAGTAGCACACGTAACCAACTTTTTGTTCCGTCTCATGTTTGTCAATCTACCGATAGCCAGCGCTTGTTTAAGTAAGGAATATCGGAACGACTTCAATTGAATTTTTGTTCAATTTGAGGTGTTCAGAATAATTCCTAAACAACCTGACCTCTTCAAGGACTTCATTTCAATTTCAGATTAGTTGAAAGTTCTCAGATCATTTTCTGATCATCTTGACCTTTTCGAAGAATATCTAAAGGACCTCATTTGAATTTTTGACTGATTTTAGGTCTTCAGAAAAATTCCTGATCGTCCTGACCCCTTCGAAAAAAATATCTGAAGGCCTTCTTTTTAATTTATAATCAGTTGAAGATCTCCAGAACTATTTCTTATATTCCTAACCTCTTGTAGGAATATCCGAAGGACTTCATTTGAATTTTTAACCAATTAGATTTTTAAATAGCCGTATCTGCTTTTGTAGGTGGGGATTCAGGCTCAATTTGTCGAAGCTCTAGTGGCTCGATAACGCAAATTGACAAATTGACGTTTAAATCTGTGGCAGATGCGGCTGTTTGAAGATTCACTCTTGAATTCGAGGACTTCAGAATAACTTCTGATCAACCTAACCACTACAATGAATATCCGTAGGATTTCAGTTGAATTTCTGACCAGTTGTAGGTCTTCAGAATACTTCCTGATCTAATTGAAACAAATATATAGGAGTTTTTTTGAACTATTGTCCTATTGTAGGGCTTCAGAACAATACCTGATCAACCTGACCTCTTGGAGGAATCTTTTGTGGACCTAATTTGAATTTTTAAAAAGCTGATGCTTCTCAGATCAATTTCTGATCACACTAACCCCTTAAAAGAATATATAAAGGACTTCATTTGATGTTTTGGCCAATGGTTGATCTTAAGATTAATTATTTATTATGTTTACCAATTTTTGAACCTTTCAAGCTGAACAATGTATTAGATCCTACGTAACATTGATCGATTCTCTTCACCGTTAATAACTTGGGTACTGAACCGTTTCTTGTCGTGTTTGTCGTATACAAAGCTAGATAATAGCTTGTTTCATCGATCTGTGTGTTGAAATTACCTGGGAATGTCTTAACCTGGCCGTGAGGATGCAAAGAGAAAGTCGACGAAGAGAATCTGTCAATGTTACTTAGGACCTAATGCCTGAGCTTGATTTAGTGTTTTTTTTTTTGGATCGCGATCAAATGTTATAAATTAACAATGTGATCCCAAGACACGATTTTTATCTATCAATCTAAGACAGCTGATGCAAGCAATGGGAAATTAAGCTCCGTTCTCATAAATGTTCGATTTGTTGTGTGGCAAAATAATCGCGATAAATGATCAACAAGTGCGTACATGTAGGAACTAAATATTTTATGATATTCTTTAAAAATTAGGCAGGCTAATCATGGAATAGAATAATTCAAGTTTTATGAATGTTTATTCACAGATGATTTTTTATGCATACGTGTCGTCAAAGCCCCATATGCACATAGCATAAAAATTGTAGGCTACAGTGCTGACATCACCAATGGTGGCGACTTCAGCAACTCTCCTTCTTGGTAGATAATTGGATTTTACCTGGTACTAGCGCCACTAGTGACACGAAAGTGACTAGCATTGCGCAAAACAGTCAGGTTCAATGAGTAATTTTCATATGAATATGAACTGCCATCTGGCTCATCATTCATTGTCTTGTGAGAGTCTGAATGATTGAAAGATTAACGAATCACTGACAGCCAATCACTCAGTCAGCACGTTTATTCTTCCGTGATGGTACCCAATCCTTGTTTTGAATGACTGCGCGTACATTTTCTATGGAAAAATGCCTCAATTACATGCTGTGTGAGCGAAAGCAAGCGGTGTGAGTCGCCTGTTCGAGAGTTTCTGAATGTTTTTATTGGCTCTTTCATTGCCTCGTCCTTTACCGTTTGGTACAAACTGTCTGGACAGAGCAATGGATTGAATAGTGCAGTGCCTTCATACTCAGTCTAAGCAGCCAATAATGTTACCTGGTGACATCACTGTAAATTGAGTGATTAGCAGTTCACAGTTGTAATTTGTTAAACAAAATAAAAACAGCATTAATCCAAAACGAATAATATTTAATCTTAGATGTTTGTTTTAAGTTGAAAGCCAGCAAAATGCTCAATACAGATGCGTTAAAAGCCTAGAAAAAGTGAATCCTTCTGTTTTCATGAACCGTGTATCGCCAACATCTGTCAATAAGCTTGTTCCCGTACTTGCTTTTGCTGTAGGTGGCTGCAGCTTTCTGTAAGTTGCTAAAGACTGGAACGCGCAAAAAATGGTCGACAAAAGATCGTTTCTTTCAGTCAAAATTCATATCGCAAAAATCTTCTTATTTTTCTTTTGGTAGTTCAATTCATATATTTAAAGAAAAAATGTTCGTTTATTCTTTTGGTTTGCCAAATCTGAACTGCCGTGCCTTCCGCTTAACCCCTTCCATTAAAGTTTGCACAGTGATTTATTTGATTTATTAGTTTTTTTTTTTTAGATTCCGTTTGACCAAGGCCCAATGCCGTTCGATAGGGCGGAGTTTTGGGCTGTTGGTAGGGTTGTGGTCTTTGGGTACCACAACCACGTTGTTCGCATCGTACCACTCGATTGCCTTTTTCCCATAGTGGCAGCTCACCAAGTCCGGCTAGAACAGCACAGGTCTATTATGTTGCTTTAGGAATGGTAGCAGCCACTTTTCCAGGCACTTCTGGACGTAGATCTCTTGATTGATGGTTCCCGTAGTAATGAAAATGCCGCTTTTTAGACCACACGTGCATATGGCCTGCCAGACGATATATTTTTTTCGGGAACTTCGATAGTTTGATGATGGTTCAGCCACCTTCCCTTTTCCTGATGCGGTATAAAACTCCTGTCCCGGTCGTCGTCCATGACAACACAGTCGAACTTTGTGAGCAGATTCGTATACAGCTTTCGGGACCGCTGCTTTGCCGACGTGTTTTGTTTGTAATCTCGGTTCGCCACCTTCACCTTCTTAAACGTCGACAACCCGGCTCGTTTCTTGGCCCGCTGCACAGTAGTATGGGAGACATTGAGCTTGCCAGCGACGTCCCGGATGGAGAGGTTAGGATTCCGCTTATATTTCACCGGCACCTTCTTCGTCGTCGCTGCCACGTCCGGATTACGATTGCCGCCGCTTCCAGGCTTCCTGGCGGTCAACAGACGCTTCCCGAACACTTTTAAAACGTTTTTCACGGTCGATTTGACCACATCCAGCAATTTTGCCAACTTGGTGTGTGAGAACGTCGGATTTTCTTGCTGCGCGAGCAAAATTTTAACACGCTGCTCCTCTTGCTTGGACGTCATTTTGAAAACTGGAGAGCAAACGGTGAAAACTCATCATAGCAACCATTGTACATACACTCAACAGAAATACACCAATTTGATGTTCTAGAGTGGACTCAAGAGAAAGAAGAAGTTAATCAGATGCGATTAGTACCCTTAATTCCAATAATACTGCAATTCACATAATACAAACTAATACCCCGTTCACATTACAGCGTATATCACGTGATATACGCTGTCTTGCAATGAGCACTCATACATCTAGTTTTCACTGGAAATCCATGCTCATTTCAAGACAGGCTATATTAAGTGATATACACTCAAAAAATTTCACACGTTTGATCGAAGTGTTTAAACACTTGATTTTCTAAATGCACAATCACATTTACTTTAAATGTATTTCACCTTGGTTCAATGTGTTATACACGTTAATTTATAGTGTTTCAAACTTTGAAATGTTGAAAATCTTTCACTATCTATTCAAGTGTATTGCACATTGAATCACGCTACTGTTCAAAACAGATGGATTTAAAGTGTTTTGCATTTCAATACGATGTGAATTGCTTGCTCAGAAAGGTAAACATCTATAACAAGAGTTGTGACTTTATCCTATCAACCTGCCTCATATATGAGAACAACCGTTGGCACAGTGAGATCGAACGAATACTCCGGCAGCAGCATACCCCAACAGTCCACGATCGAATCCCAAATCAGACCCATTAAAAATATATGTGAAAGCTCTGGCCTCTGGCAGTTTTGTTTATATATTTGTCGATTCATTTTTAGAGTCGGTAAAGTAGAATTCGAAAAAGTAGAATATTGTAGAATATTGAACTATGGTGTGCAAAGCTTTTGATATCACCATATGAGGCACATAGAATCCAAGTGTGTCACAATTCAAATCCATAGTGTTCAGGCATGGTTCATAGCATAAGATTCACACATGAAATGGATGTGTTTCACAATATGCGCAAAATTAAGTGTGAGACACATGATGATGACGTGTGGTTTTTTTTGAGTGTAGGCTGTAATGTGAACGGGGTATAAAGAAGTCTATTCATCATCCTCTATTGGCGTCTTGCAGTGAAACTTTTCCAAGCTTTCGCCTCCTACATTTCGAAGTGAGAACTACTAGAAGGAGGATAGTTTCCAAATTTTCCAAGTAAAACAGACGATTTTTGGGGCAAACCGGTCCATAAAGAAAAACTAATAATTTCC